ATACTGGTTTTTAGAAACGAAACTGCTGATTTTAAGATTACAACATGGAACGTAAGAAGTTTATGTAGAACAAGTACAAGCCAAAATTTAGCTGATGTCCTAAATACCTATAATATTAAAGTAGCATACAAAAATGTGGTTGGGTGTAGGCCAAAAAATGATCAGTGAGTACACAATATTTTTCTCTGGAATACGCACCATTTTGGTAGCGGTTTTTTTGTGCATAGGGCATTAGTACCGTACATAAAATATTTTAACCCAATATCCTAACGAATATCAATACTAATCATAGTAATAAATGAAAATGCACCAATGGAAGTAAAGAATGATAATGTAAAATGTGCCTTTTTCAACGAACTGATCGAAGCTATCACTGGATACATGATAAAGATTATATAAGAGGACTTGAATGCAAAATATGGACGAGAACTACAGTACTTCCCGTGCATAGAATAAGAAAGTTTGACACATGACTTTGTGAATATTCACAAAGTCATGTGGAAGTCACCAAATGGCGAAACCGAAATTGACCATGTCCTAAAACAGACTAGATATCCTAGTACCATTTACGATGAAAGAATCCATAGAGGCACCAATTGTGACACTAATCACTACTTAGTGATGACCAAATTAAGATCAAATTTAAAGAGTCAAATGAAATTAAAACAAAATAAGAAGACGAAAATATATGTAGAACTACTTAAAGATGAAAATGTAAGGAAAGAATATGTAAATCTAAAAATTATAGAGGGATAAACTACAGAACAACTATCCATAACAGGTTAAATAATTTATCAAGGTACGTGTACCGGCATAATATGTGGCAAATGTTCATAAATTTAAATATTCGAATAAATATAGCCCAAAAGCGTTTCATGCACTAACAAAATGAAACCACAGGTAAAATATGGATTGACGTAGTTGAAGAAATCTGAAAACTTTGCAAGTAATAAACTGGAGAGAGGAAGTACAAGATAGAGAAAGCTGGAGAGGAGTTGTATGGGGGCAAAAACTTTTAGAGAGTTCTCTTGGCAGTTAAAACATGTCAAGAGAAGAAAGAAGAAAAGTTGATTAAGAGCGATAGAGTGTAACTAGTGATGAGCAAAACAAGAACAAGACTAAGACTGTCAAAGTCTTGGTCTTGGTCTTGTTTTTGATAGCTGAGTCTTGGTCTTGGTCTTGCAAGTCTAGTTTTGTTCTTGGTCTTGCTTATTTAGTCTTGTACTTGTTCTTGGTCTTGCCCATAAAATTTATATCTTGTTGTGAGTCTTGTCATAATACTCTTGCAAAATCTTGCATTTATTTATATTTGTAAAAATTTTCTACATAAAAGGTTTAAATAACGAAGTTACCTACTTCAGTTTGTAAATTCAAATTTAGTTTATATGCCATAGGATTTTTAAGTTAGAACTTAATATTAGCATTAACAATATGAATGATTTTTTTTTTAATAGTTTAGGGTACTAAAAAAAAATAAACAAATAAAATTATGTACAATTTCATTTTATTAATATTATAAATACATATTGTATTATATTTTAAATAAAGAGAAATGAAATTGAACATGGTCTATTATTGTAGTATCGCAAAATATAAAATTTTGATATAACAAATAATAATAATAGGTATAAGAATACCTATTATTATTACCTGGTACAAGTAATAATAATAATAGTAATATAGAGGGAATTGGTGTACAATGGATATCTAATCATTTAGATCGTGGTAATCCACGTTACGAAAAACAAACGATGGTATAGCAACTTCTATTACCAAAAAATTAATCATAAAAAAATAAACGTTAAATTAGTATTTATTTTTTGGACATTGTTTCTGTCCAAGAGTTAATACATAAAAGCCATTGGGCATATTCATTATTGAGCCTATTCCTATGTTTACATATAACTAATGATGCCTTTGAAAAAAGTCGCTCGGCAGGAACTGATGTCGCTGTAATGGATAAGTAATTTCGAGCCATTTTTGATAATATTGGGAATTGACATTGATTTTGATTCCACCACTGGAGAATATCTTCATTACCTCCAATTCTTGGCTGGCTAAAGTAAATATCTAATTCTCGTCTAGAATTTTGAAGAGATGTAGATATATACGTAGACGAGTATAATTTATTAAAATCTATGATATCTTCATCATCTAAATCATATTCTTGACTGTCTCTAGTTGTCAATTCAGGCTCAATAGGTTCTTGATTTAAATATTTTTCGTACAACTCTTCAAACTTTTGAAGGCTTTCTTTTTTAATCTCTTTTCCCCACGATGTCAGATCAAAAGTTTCAGCTTTGTGTCTGGGATCTAAAATAAGTACTACACAATAAATCCAATTGGTTTTTTTATAATGTTTAAGCATTTTATCTCTTGCTGCAATAAACCCATCAATAAGTTGTTCGTCTATTGAATTTCGATTGATTTTATCATCCAATTGTTTTATGGTGCTCTCCACTTTATCAAGTAAAAGATTAAATGAAACAATAGCCTGAGGGAGTGTAACATATTTTTCACCACCAAGTTTTGTAGTTAATAACCTAAAATTAATTAAAAACTTATATACTTTTTCAAATATTATCCATTCATCCTCTGAAATTTGAAAATCGGTCAATTCTGGCACATTGTTGCATAATGTAACAATTTCCTTTTTCAACTTCAAAGTTACCCCTAGCATATCATGAGTTGAGTTCCATCGAGTTGGACAATCTAAAATAGGACTTATGGTTGTGGATACACCTACTGTTTCACATGTCAAATTAAATCTATTTTTCAAAATTTCACTTCTTTTGATTTTGCAGAAAATAGAACGTAGTTTCATTAACGCAGTGCTTGAGTTGTTTACCTCTTCTAAACAGTTTTTCATAATGACATCTTCACTTTGCTCATTTTATTCTTCATTCAAACTATCCGCCATTTCATCATCACTTTCATTTTCATTTTGTATAGCTAGGGTTTTCATTAAATCTTACACTCCTAAATTTAATATATGCGCAATGCAACGAAAATGTTGATATTCTACATCAAAATCAGGTATTAATTTACCCAATTCATTCATAAATTTGGTGTTTGCAGACGCGTTGTCAATAGTTATGCCTTCTATTTTTTTTTTCTAAATTAAATTTTCTTAAGCAGTTGTAAAAAATTCTGGCAATATCTTTTCCCGTGTGTTGACCGTGAGAGGGTACAAAATCAAGAACTGATGATTGATAATTCCATTCGTTATCTATAAAATGCACAGTTACTCCATAGAACGTTTTACCAGCTATAGATGTCCAGCCATCAATCGCGAAAGAAATATTAGAAGTACATTTTGACAGTGTATCCTTAACATGATCTCGAATTTCTTCATATCGAGCTTTAACTTGACGTCGAAGAGTAAACCTATTGGGAAATGTGAAATTTGGGGAAATAAATTGAAAGTAATCACGAGTTTTTTTATCATCAAAAAAGGAGAAAGGTAGATATTTCTTAGTAATCCAATCGACTATATATGCAGTAAAATGTTTAGTTATATGTCCCTGTAATGATATAAACAATAAATTTTAATAATTTGTATTTTCACGAACTATAAAAAGTAAATATGTAAAGTAATAATTTAAATATATTTTAAATTTTAACTGTTCTAAGTTTATAGTATCCCTATTTATAAAATGGTTTTGAATATCAAATTTTTTTTTTAACTAACAATGTTAAAGAAATCATAAAATGAAAGAAATTTGAATTTAAAATTTGTGTATTATTAAGTTACTTACTTCTGCCGTCAACACGGGGAATAACTTTTCTGATTCATTCCTATGCTTCGCAATTAGATGTTTTTTCAGACCGGATGTATTCCGGTTTGTCATTAATATGTTTTTTTCGCATAATTTACACACACCCACGAGTTTATTTTTAATCATTCTCTGATCGAAAAATTCATTGAATTTACTGTTCACAGTATTTTTAATGATTTCTGATTCTTTTTCCATTTTAATTACTCAGTTAATTTTCCAACAGAGACTGAAACCGTGCAGTTGCGTTTTTCAATGAACATCAATATGATTGCGCGCGGTCAATTTTATCGGTACCTTTTTAAGTGTACGATCTAGAGGTCGCGATTACACGTGTAATGAACTACACGGGTACCCGTATTTTTATCTATGACGGGGTTAAAGTCCGTGTAGTAAAAATATCCGTGTATACCCGGGTATTTAAATACCCGTGACCTTAAATAGTCATATATTTAATATAATATATATATATACAATGTATGCACGGGTATTAAATACACGGGCTTTAATATATGTTTTGCCCGTGTACCCGGGCTCCGTGTATCCGTGTATTCTAATACCCGTTCACAATCGCGACCCCTAGTACGATCGCGCGCGCTATATTATTTGAATTTCTTTGCAATGTTGCCAAATTTATTGGTAAATCTATACGTACTTTAGCGATCTGTATCTGCGTAATTATAAATAAATTAAATTATAAAAAAATAAGACGTTATTTAAATAAAGTATTTTTTCACTTAAAACTGATGGCGTGATGTTGTCCAAATGGTAACGCAGCGGATGTACGGTCGGGGGGGGACGCGAGTTCGATTCTCCTAGTCGAATAATTTTTTTTGCATTTTAATTAATTTTTTTCATTGAATAATGAACATGGATAANAATTTTTTTCATTGAATAATGAACATGAATATATTTATTTTATGAGTTTACCAGTCGCCGGTTTTATGTATCGATTTTTAAAACCGGTTTTAAATAATAATCGCTTTCTGTTCATAGATACAGTTTTTAAAAATTATTGGTTTTGACTAACAAAACCGAAAAAAACTGTTATAACCAGTTTTTATAAAACCAGTTTCAGTCTCCGCTTTAGAAGAACACAAAAATTTTATCTAATTTTATCATAATGTTTGAAGCACGGAATATTTATTTTTAATTTTCTTTAATTATTTAAAATTAATTAATTACAATTAAATGACAATACATTTTGAAACATGATTATAAAATTTTAAGTTAATCGGTAACATCAGCTCATAGGTAATATTTAATTTGAACAATACGCGTAATGAATAAAAATCAAAGTAAAATTTAATATTGTCGAATCTGTCATTAATAATCTTAACGATTTTAACGAACAACAATCTTTTTTTTTTTTTGCAAGAGTGCAATACTCTTGCATTTTGAGTCTTGGTCTTGGTCTTGTTCTTACAAGTCTAGTCTTGTTCTTGTTCTTGGTCTTGCTAAAAAAAGTATTGGTCTTGTTGATATTATTACAATCTTGGTCTTGTTCTTGGTCTCGTAGAAATGCAAGACCAAGCCAAGACCACAAAAACAAGAGTAATTTTGCTGATCACTAAGTGTAACTTTACCTGATCTTTTTTTTATCTTTTCATTAACTATTATCTTATCAATACATAACTTTTATAGTGGCAATTTTTTTTAGCTAAAATTGCTATCATAATATAGTAAGTCTTAAAAAATATTTTAATTTAATTTAATTAGAGTCTAGAAAAAGGATCATAAGCTTGTTGAGATTTTCAAGGAGTCGTGCAACCATAACTTCATGTTTTGGTATGGAATGATCCTAAATATAACCGCTATATTAACGAAAAGTTTAACGTCATATTATAATAACAGTCCTAAATGTTGGTATAACAATGAGAATATCTATGCCTGCATTATGGAATATTTGAGTTCTAAAGTAAATAATTCTTAATTTACGATTAAAATAGATAAAAGTTTGCTATTAATAAATTTTTAATTAAAATCAATTGATTCTTATTTAAAAAAAATATTCATAATTAATTCACGCGGATCAAGGATAATAGCTATACCTTTAACCATTATTAAAAATAAGATAAGCACAAACAATGATAAAAAATATATGAAAAAATTTAATAATGTGTTTTAAAAAATTTATACTGAAGTTGTTTCGTTCTCAATTTCTTCATAATGTTCAAATTTTAAATAGACCTGTTCTAAAGTAGTTTGGCTGAAACTATATTCTTGTATATCACACGTATTTTTAGCTAAATGAAAAAGAATCGTTGATTTTAATTTTGTATACTAATTTCAAAAATTAAGGAAGTATGATACCGTTTTCGAGATTAGAAAAACATTGAGCCAATGATTCAACAGCTGATTGAGGAACTCCAAAAACAATGCGATCAGCAAATTCTTCTTCGAGCACAGCACTAGGAAATGAAGATATAACAAAAGCTTTAATATCATCTATGTCACCACAAGGTTTCAACCTAATTTCTAAAGTGTAACCAGCTCCATATACGTTTTTTAAGTATTGAGTTGAACCCAAGCATCTTAAAATAAAAATAATCGAAATATTATACATGTTTCAGAGTTTATCAAATATGTATATTCTACCTGAGCTGGCCTTTTACCATTATTCCAACTTTTGAGCAAAGAGCATCCGCTTCTTCCATTGAATGAGTTGTTAATATAGCGCCCTTAGAACTTTGACAACTGTTGATAATGATATCCCATAAATATCTTTTTGATCTTGGATCCATACCTGTACTAGGTTCATCTAAAAGCACTAGCTTTGGATTTTTCATCATAGCCAAAGCAAAACTTAATTTTCGTCTTGTACCACCCGAACAATGATCAACTTGTTTATTAGCATGGTTAGCAATTTGAAGGCTGGCAATGTATTTATCGACGATTCTATAAATATTGGTTATCAATTATGTATTATGTCAATTATTATAATATTTATGTAAATAAAAAATAAATAAATACTTTGATATATTATCACCAGATAGTCCTTGGATAGCAGCATATATTTCTAAATGTTCTTTTACAGTCAGTAAACCCCATAATGCATCATGTTGAGGACAATAACCAATCATATTATACGCAACATCGCTAGAGTCTTGCAAATCATGCCCTTTAAGATAAACCTGTGCAATATAAATATGGCTTTAAATAAGTCTTACATTTATTTCTTCGGTGACGTTTTGTTTCGTAATATTTAAATTAAAACTTTATGAAAAAATTAATACTAAAAATTATAACAATTTTTATAATATAATAAGAATATATGTTTTGTAGCTAATTTTGTTTTAAATATTATTTTAATTATTACACAGCACTATTTTGTATATTTAATTTTTGGCTAATTATTATAAAATGTCAAATTATATATTTTATTAACTTTGACATTTAGCTGTTAAGGTATTAATTTTATAATAATAAATATTTATTTAATTTAACACAAAATTTGAAAAAATTTTAAATTTTTTATATGAATACTCTAGGTTTTATTTTAAATTTAATATATATTTTTTTGAAAATCGAATAAATAGACTATGTACACCATTTTGTACTTTGTCTGGCAATTGTATTGAATCCTCCTTCAAATATATATTTAAACGAGGATAATAGCAAGTCAATATCAATTAATATACTATTAACAAAAAAAAAATAAAAAATTTAATTTTTGATAAAAACTGTATGAAATTAAAGGTCATATAATGAATTTCATTAAAACAAATTTCCTTAATATTTGACTTTACAGATAACTCTCATAGCATTGACCTTTCTAGTCCTTACGTATTTAATTACATTTTAAAGTCAGTAAGAACTTACTATTAGGAAACATTTAGGATGATCTTAGATCTTTCATGATAAATTATTGTGTGAAACTTCCTGGCAATATATATATGTATATGTATATGTACCTATACTGGTATATGTATATGTTTACATAAATCAGGATATATAGATTGTTCAGTAAGTAGGGAAACTTTTTGAATATCCTGTATTTATATTAACTAATGGGAAATATCGGATATCATAATTAAAACATTCTACAATTTTACAATATTTTTAAATGATTACGTTTATAATTTATAATTGTAATTTTTCCCTTATAGGGACGTTTATGATTTCAATCTATACCAATGTACAATATATCGGGTCCAACTAAGATTTTTTTCTTTATTAATATATTACTCAGAGTGTTCAAAAATAAGAAAACAAGTTAATTGTTACAAATATTGAGAAAGATAAAGAGCCGTTTCCTAATTTACTGATCACTCTATATAATATTAGAAATAGTCCTATGACTATATTAAAATGCATGTCCCTGTCTAATTAAAATGGAACTAAAATACATTACTTGGATAGTTCTACAGTCACTTTAGAACATATATGACAATGATAGACAGTCAATCTGACTACATAAATAAACGATGATTAAATAAAAAAAAAACCTAGGACAGGGAGGTCGCTGCACAGTGGTGACGTGGCATAGATGGATCAAGTATAATAATATCTGACAGTGATTAAAATCACTATCAAAAATAAACGCTTCGATGCAAATCTTTAGATTGTGTTTAATTTAAAAAAAAATTGTGTATTATTCCAAAAGCTACATGATCTGCTAGTTCATTATTAATATTTTAATTAAGATAAAGTATGTCGAATCGAAAAGGGATTATTAAAAAATATTATTTCTCATAAAAAAATAATGTTGATCCAAACACTTTTCAATATGTAATAGCATTATAAAGTTAAAAATGTAAAAAATAAAATTGAGAATTTTCACACAATAATAGCATTTGGTAGCCATTTTCACCTTGAAGATAAAATAAAGTCCGAAATTTTTTTTTTCCATGATAAAGTATATTACATTAGCTTTAATTTAAGATATATATAAAAGTGTCAGACTTTCCGGAACACTTTCAAAATTTAAGTTGAAAAAGTCAATTTTTTGTGAAAAAGTTGTCATTTTGAATCCCCCCCTGTAGGCAGGTAAAAAGTCAGATTTATAAAAAAAATATACCAAATGATAGGTAAAGACATCATGCATCTACAAAAAAAAGAATTATATTGATCCATACATCTTTCGAGAAGTTATAGCATTATAAAGTTAAAAATATAAAAAAGAATTTTTTTACAAAAATCGTATTTTTTTTATTAAGTTTAATGTCTGTTTTCACCATGAAGATAAAATAAAGTCCGAAATTTTTTTTTACCATTATAAAGTATATTACATTAGCTTTAATTTAAGATATATATAAAAGTGTCAGACCTTCCGGAACACTTTCAAAAGTTACGTTGAAAAAGTTCTACTTTCTATATGCATTTTTATGTTTTGAATCCCCCCTGTATTTAGGGAAATGGTCCGATTTAAAAAAACAGTATGTCGAATGAAAGATCTATATAAATACTACTTCTCATAAAAAAATTGTAATGATTCATACATTTTTCAAAAAGTTATAGCATAATAAAGTTAAAAATGGAAAATACAAAATCGAAAATTTTCACACAAAAATAGCATTCGGTAGCCATTTTCACCATGAAGATAAAATAAAGTCCGAAATTTTTTTTTTTCATGATAAAGTATATTACATTAGCTTTAATTTAAGATATATATAAAAGTGTCAGACCTTCCGGAACATTTTCAAAATTTAAGTTAAAATAATTAATTTTTTGTGAAAAAGTTGTCATTTTAAATCCCCCCTTGTGGGCAGGTTAAGGGTTAAATTTATGAAAAAAGTATACCAAATGAAAGGTAATGATATTATACATCTATATAAAAAAGAATTATATTGATATGTTTTAAGTAAAAAAAATTGAAAAAATTTCGAAAATTAGCGATTTTTAAATTTGTAATTTTTTTGGAGATTTCCCTTATTTACGGGGGACGAGGGAAATTTTTTCAATTTTTAAGGGTAATATCTTCGACTAGATACGATTTGTGATCTTTTGATGTATCGTTGAAACAAATCGGTTCCGTGAGAGCTGAGAAAAAGTGGTAAATTTTTTTTTTCATAATAAAGTAAATTACATTAGCTTTAATTTAAGGTATATAAAAAGTGTCAGACTTTCCGGAACACTTTCAAAATTTAAGTTGAAAAAGTAAATTTTTTGTGAAAAAGTTGTCATTTTGAATCCCCCCCTGTAGGCAGGTAAAGGGTCAGATATGAAAAAAAAATATACCAAATGATAGGTAAAGACATCATGCATCTACAAAAAAAAGAATTATATTGATCCATACATCTTTCAAAAAGTTATAGCATTATAAAGTTAAAAATATAAAAAAGAATTTTTTACGAAAATCGTATTATTTTTTTTAAGTTTGATGTCTGTTTTCACCATGAAGATAAAATAAAGTCCGAAATTTTTTTTACCATAATAAAGTATATTACATTAACTTTAATTTAAGATATATATAAAAGTGTCAGACTTTCCGGAACACTTTCAAAAGTTGAAAAAGTTCTACTTTCTACATGCATTTTTTTAGATTTGAACCCCCCTCAAATATAGGAAAATGGTCTGATTTAAAAAAACAGTATGTCGAATTAAAGATGTATATAAATACTACTTTTCATGAAAAAATTGTATTAATCCATACATTTTTCAAATAGTTATAGCATAATAAAATTAAAAATGTAAAATACAAAATCGAAAATTTTCANCATTTTTCAAAAAGTTATAGCATAATAAAGTTAAAAATGTAAAATACAAAATCGAAAATTTTCACACAAAAATAGCATTCGGTAGCCATTTTCACCGTGAAGATAAAATAAAGTCCGAAATTTTTTTTTTTTTTCATGTTAAAGTATATTAAATTAGCTTTAATTTAAGATATATATAAAAGTGTCAGACCTTCCGGAACATTTTCAAAATTTAAGTTGAAAAAGTAAATTTTTTGTGAAAAAGTTGTCATTTTAAATCCCCCCCTATGGTCAAGTAAAGGGTCACATATAAAAAAAAAATATACCAAATGAAAGGTAATGATATCATGTATCTATAAAAAAAAGAATTATATTGATTTGGTTATTTTTAAAAAAGTTATAGCAATTTTAAGTAAAAAAATTGAAAAAATTTCGAAAATTAGCGATTTTTAAATATGTAATTTTTTGGAGGTTTCCCCCATTTACGGGAAACGAGGGAATTTTTTTCAATTTTTGAGGGTAATGTCTTCGACTAAATACGATTTGTGATCTTTTGACGTATCATTGAAAGAAATCGGTTCGGTGAGAGCTGAGAAAAAGTGGTAACAGACACAAAAAAAAAAAAAAACACATCTTAGTAAAACCAATACCTTCTCAGCTTCGCATCGAAGCTAAAACCCAGCACAGTGGTGATGTGGCATAGTTGGGTCATGTATCTTGATATCTGACAGTGATTAAATCCACTATCATAAAAAACGCTTTGATGCAAATCTGTAGATAGTATTCAATTATAATAAATTATTGGATTATTCCAAAAGCAACAGGATCTCTTATTTCCTTATTTATATCCTGATTACAAGTTTTATGATTTATAAGTGTAATACATGAATAAAAATTTATTAAAGCAATTAAATATATACTATATTTAATTGCTTAAATGCTATACATTTATGCATTTCCACACGGAAATGGTTAAGTCACTCCCTGGAAATTCTGATATGGCCTACCTTAGGATGGGTAGCAAGTCCATGAAGAAATTTCGCCGGGGTAACATAATATTGCAAGTAAACCATAAATCAACACAGAAAACTTTTGAGATTCAGCAAATAGTAGAAAAGACATTGGTAGAGAAAGTAGTGGTAAAACAACTGGACAACAACTTATTACTGCAGATTAACGGTTTAGATGGAATCACAGATCAAAAAGTAGTAAGACTCAGTAAATGAGACGCTAGAGTATAGCCCCGAAGATGGTAAATTTTTGGTGCGAAACTTATACATATGGGAGGATGGCACACAGAGGACACATGTATAAATGCCTGAAAATGATGCCTAAAAACTATTAAAGAAAAACAGACTAAAAGTTAGCTGGTCTTACTACCTTATAAAAACAAAAAAAAAGACAACCAAATATTAAAGCTTCTAGAGTAGAATGTAATGGCGATAACAATATGGGATGTTTCTGATCAACATGATCAGAAACACACAAAGCACAAAAGTATATGTTGGAAAGTGAACGGCCGATATGCTAGCAAAGTTGGATGGATCTCGTAGATAACAACTGAATCTTAACAGAAAATCAATACGATTAAAAAAAAAAAAAAGATCTACTACAAACGCCATTAAAAGATTAAAGGAAGTAGTCGACCATGCCTCGAAAAAAATGATAATAGAAGTCTTAACAGTAGATATAAAGAACTCATTCAACTTGGTCAGTTAGGGCATAATCCTCGAAACGAACCAATAGCCGGTAGTCTTACCGGCTACTATAGTCTATTAATATGACGCTAGAAAAAGATATAACGGTGGACAACGTAGTCGAAAAGATGTTGAACAACAAGCTGATTAAATATATATGTTTCCATTAAAAAAACAAAGTAATACATATAGAGAGAAAAGGAGAGAATTTTTTTTTTTAATTATAGAACGTAAGATAGGGTTAACTTTCGAAAAGAAAAAATTATTTATGTTTTATATTTTCAATGGTACTTTTTGAGTCATAGTTAAATAATCACTTTGTATAATATATAATTATCAAAATGTTATTATATTATAATTAATTATATTTTGTTATAAAAATTATCTTTAAATCAAATAATAGTTATTCAGTGGGGGTTTTTAATATAATAATTTCTATTTATAAAAATAATGAATTAATTAGCGGTCTTATTTCTTTAAAAACTAATGGAACACATTTCATAACTTGTGTCCCAAAAAAGAAATCGATTCCAGAAAATGTTCATTTTACAAAAACATTCTTAAACAACACTGATTCAAACTATAAAATAAATTAATAGTTAATAATTACTATGACAAAAAATTATTGAAAAAACTAAAATAAAAATTTAATATAGAATAATCACTTTTCCTGCTGTTTCTTTTTCTTCTGTTGCTAAAACTTTCATTGTTGAAGTCTTGCCAGCACCATTGTGACCCAATAATCCAAGTATTTCTCCTGTATCAACTGTTAAAGATAAATTTCGAATTGCAACTTTTTTTGTTGGTTCATCATTTAAACATAATTTTTGATGAAAACATATTTTATTCGATTCTAAATTTCTATTGTAGTATTCTTTTCTTAAATTCTATTAATTTTATAGAAGTTAAACAAATCAACTTTTGGTTATATAATATTTATAAAAAAATACTTGAATAACTATCACTGGCCAATATGATTTTTCAGTTACAATATTATTTACTTTTCTCCTTTCATTTTTCACGTCTTCATCGCCGTCATCTTGCAAGTCTATTGTCATATTCTTATTACTTGATTTTTTTGAGCTCGAGTCTAAAAGTGTAAGTATGACCCACAATACCGGCAGTTGTCCAATACAGCCCATTAGTAATGCAACCGTCTCCTTATTTACATATTTTATAAATGATGTATGTTGATCACTTTCGCGATACACGCTATTAGCATGGTATATAATTGAAAATGGAATATAAACAAAATTTGTTGAAGAAAAAAGTACATGTAGAGCGAATGTTAAATTTTTAGCGACCCCTAACATGTCTAAAGAAGCAACTGCCATGAATGGGACCCCTCCGATTAGAGAAGTAACATTTGGTAATATACATTGAAGAGAATCAGCTTTATCAAAAAAATAAGACAAGCAAGCAGTAGCTACAACTGCTGTTGGACAATAGACAAAAAATAGAATAACCATTATATATACAGCTGGAATCGTGTCTAAACCCTCGACATGTAAAATAAAAATTAGAGAGATTAGTATGAAAAAAATAAATAATAGCATGAGTGTCAAAAGTATAAAGTAAGAACCGATGTATTCCAAAAACATAACTCCATTAATGTAAAGCTGATTTTTAGTTTTCATCTAAATTATAAAACTATATTTAAAATTCATATTAAAATATATATAAATTTAAAGATAACTGATAATTACCTCGCGATCGTAAACTAAATCAGATGACAAACTCACGGAAACTAATACAAAAACAATCCCCAAAAAAAATGCTGATGAACATCTACTAAAATTAAATTCGTTTTGTTTATATTCAGTTTTAAATGGTTCAGTTTTCAAATGTATGTCGCCTCTAAATTAACCACAATAAATAAATTATTAATAATTAAACCATCCAATGGTACAATACATTTACTAGCTAAATATTTCATCTACATATATATTGTAAAAGTTGTCATCTTTAATCATTGTAATTGTCACTGATGAAAAAACCGCTATCATATGAAATCATTTATTTTATGTTAATTGAACAAAAATACGTTAACATTTTAAGATATCATATAATAAAAATTGATTACTCGTGGCTAATATTCTTAAAAATTAAAGTTAAAATACAAATATTAATTTAAAAATAAAAAAAAATTAAACTCAAAAAGCCACAAAAGTTATTGAAAAATCGCAGATCCGTATTTCTAGAACAATGCTACCATTAATAACGCTAAACACATACTGACTTATACATTTTCGAGATATGAGCTTGAATGTAAACTAAATTCTTTATTTTTTTACAAACAAGGCTTTTTTGATTCATTTATTAATTTAAGATTAGATGGATTTGAATTTTAAATAATATGAATTATTAAATATGTCAGATCAATTTTTAGCTTCGATGCGAAGCTGAGAAGGTATTGATTTTACTATGATAAGTTTTTTTTTTTGTGTCTGTTAACACTTGTTATCAACTCTAACCAAACCGATTTCTTTTAATGATACGTCAAAAGATCACAAATCGTCAAAGATATTACCCCTGAAAATTGAAAAAATTTCCCTCGTCCCCCGTAAATAAGGGAAATCTCCAAAAAAATTACAAATTTAAAAATCGCTAATTTTCGAAATTTTTTCAATTTTTTTTACTTAAAACATATCAATATAATTCTTTTTTATATAGATGTATAATATCATTACCTTTCATTTGGTATACTTTTTTCATAAATTTAACCCTTAACCTGCCCACAAGGGGGGATTTAAAATGACAACTTTTTCACAAAAAATTAATTATTTTAACTTAAATTTTGAAAATGTTCCGGAAGGTCTGACACTTTTATATATATCTTAAATTAAAGCTAATGTAATATGCTTTATCATGAAAAAAAAAAATTTCGGACTTTATTTTATCTTCACAGTGAAAATGGCTACCGAATGCTATTTTTGTGTGAAAATTTTCGATTTTGTATTTGCCATTTTTAACTTTATTATGCTATAACTATTTGAAAAATGTATGGATCAATACAAATTTTTCATTAGAAGTAGTATTTACATACATCTTTCATTCGACATACTGTTTTTTTAAATCGGACCATTTTCCTATATACAAGGGGGGTTCAAATCTAAAAAAATGCTTATAGAAAGTAGAACTTTTTCAACTTAACTTTTGAAAGTGTTCCGGAAGGTCTGACACTTTTATATATATCTTAAATTAAAGCTAATGTAATATACTTTATAATGGTAAAAAAAAATTTCGGACTTTATTTTATCTTCATGGTGAAAACAGACATTAAACCTAATAAAAAAAATACTATTTTTGTAAAAAAATTCTTTTTTACATTTTTAACATTATAATGCTATAACTTTTTGAAAAATTTATGGATCAATACAATTTTTTTATGAGAAATAATATTTTTTAATAATCCCTTTTTCATTCGACATACTTTATCTTAATCAGGATATTAATAGGGATCTAGCAGTTTATGAAGCTTTTGGAATAATCCACCAATTTTTTAAAATTAAACACTATCTAAAGATTTGCATCGAAGCGTTTTTTTTTTATAGTGATTTTAATCACTGTCAGATATCATTATACTTGATCCAACTATGCCACGTCACCACTGTGCCGCGACCCCGCTGTGCTGGGTTTTTTTACTTAAAACTGCTATAATTTTTTTAAAAATGACCAAATATATATAATTTTTTTTTATAGAAACATGAGGTATTTACCTATTATCTCGTATATTTTTTTTTATTATTTTGACCCTTTACCTGTCTACAGTGGGGGATTCAAAATAACAACTTATTCAACGTAAATTTCGAAAATGTCTCGGAAATACTAACACTTATTAAATATGAAATTAAAGCTTATATAATATACTATAATATGAAAAAAAAATTTTGAACTTTATTTTGTTTTCATGGTGAAAACGGACATCAAAATTAAAAAAAAAATACAATTTTTGTAAAAAACTTCTTTTTTATATTTTTAACATTATAATTTTATAGCTTTTTGAAAAATGTATCATTATAATTTTTTTGTTTTAACTACTATTAATATACTTCTTTTATGCAACATACTTTTTTTTAAAAACGGGCCATTTCCCTTTATGGAAGAAGGGATTCAAAACTTATAGATGCATGTAGAAAATATCAATTTTTCAACTTAAATTTGGAAGTGTTGCGGAAATACTGAAACTTTACTATATATCTTAAACTAAAGTGTGTGTAATATATTTTAATATGAATAAATAAATTTTCGACTTTATTTTGTTATCATGGTGAAAACAAACACTAAAGTTAATAAATAAAAATACGATTTTTGTAAAAAAATTCATTTTTGTATTTTAACTTTATAAACCTATAATTTTTTGAAAAATGTATGGATCATTATATTTTTTTAATGATAAGTACTATACAGGCGGCCCAGTAATTGCAAATTGAAATACGTATTGAGAAAAGGACAGAAGAAAACACTATCTTTTCATGATTACTATAATTTGGAGGTGTGTAATTTTTTCTATGAAAATGACTTATACTTTTGAATGAGAGTGATAAGTAATTATTGCCTTATCAAATTTCTTATCATGGTATTAATGCCAAGTTTTAATACCGTAAAATAATACATAAAAATTCAAAACTTTAAAATGCTATAGAATATTTACTACTGAATATTAATAAGATATTTTTTTACTAAAATTTTTCTTAAATTCTACTCTACAAAATAGCTATCTTAGATTTTTTTTTTACATTTAATTTAAAATTTAAAAATAATTAATATTTTTAATAAAATGTAAAAAATTAATTATTGAGATATAGCATAGACCTAACGTATAACTATAATTAAAAAAAAAAATCAGCTAAAAATATTAACTGGATGAAAAGATATTTAAGTTGTCAGTGAATGCTGGGCAATCCTGTATTAATATATATATATATATATATATATATTTATTTATTCATATATTACACTATAAATCATAAAACTTGTAATCAGAATATAAATAAAAATTAAAAAATAAAAAATTGGTGGATTATTCCAAAAGCTACATGATTAATACTTTCAAAAATTAATTTTTTATGAAAAAGTTGTTATTTTGAATCCCCCCTGTAAGCAGGTAAAGGGTCAGATTTATTAAAAAAATATATCAAATGTTAGGTAAAGACATCATGCATCTATAAAAAAAAATTATATTGATTTGGTCATTTTTAAAAAGTTATGGCAGTTATAAGTAAAACAAATTTTAATAAATTTGTAATTTTTTTGGTGATTTTCCCCATTTACGGGAACGAGGGAAATTTTTGAGGGTAATATCTTCGACTATATATGATTTGTAATCTTTTGACGTATTGTTGAAAGAAATGGTTTCGATGAGAGCTTAGAAAAAGTGATAACAGATACAAAAAATAAAAATAAATAAACACATCATAGTAAAATTAATACCTTTTCAGCTTCACATCAAAGATAATATTAAATGGTTATTAGTTAGTAATATGATAGCTGGATTACAACATTGATAACACAAGGTTAAACATTTTAACAAGCCTTAAATTTCAGACGTCATTTAAATTTTATAACTTTTATTAAATAAATTTGTACTTCAGCTTAGTTAATTTAAATAAAAAACATGTTTGCTAATTATGCACATTATTAAATTTTTTATACTTACCCAATTATTGCGCTAGATATAGAATTCAATATTATTGGCAATGAATGAATAAATGAATCATTGAAGTAAATTGAAAATGATTTATTAGAATCATCCAATAAAGATATTGCTCCTAAATGAGGAGGCAGTTCTAATAAACCATCAAAGGCACCCAAGTATAAATCTGTATTTAGTGTAGTATAAGTATTAAGTTCCTCGGATAATGTTATAAGTCTACTGCCATTTTTATATAAATCTAAACAAAAATACACTTATCAACAATAGTAGTAATCATAGAGTGAATGAAAGGTAAACATTTGTATGAACATAATTTTTAGTTAGTTTTAAGGACGGATAAAGTAAAATTTAACGTAAAATGTCTACAACCACTTAAAAGTTATTTTAAGGTTTAGAACATTACATCTCTTTTTGTTTACGATGTGGTTTCTTTTTCTTACAAATATGTTTAAAGGTTTTGGTATTAAAAGTATTTTTATTTTATTTTGTTTCAAGTAATAAGAACATATTATTTTTTTTACATTTTTCTATTTCTATTGTTTTTAGTGTATTAAAATATTATAATTATATCGTTATAAAAAAGTTTTGATTCTAAGCTTCTACTAACTATGGTAAATTAATACCACACAACAAACTTGATTGAAATTAATGAAACATATCTCTACCAATAGTAGAACAAATTAAATATGTTAGATTTTATACTTGCCTTTATCTAAAGTAATACTTCTTAAAGGTTGATTTTCGTAGCTTAACTTATTTAATATAATTCCAGTAGCCAAAAAGACAACTGGTAATAAAATCATTACGTATAATTTATGAATATCTCGCAAAACTCTTTTTATACGCATTTTTAGTAGTGTCATTGTTATCAACCACTTAGTTGGATTATACACCACATTTGATCCAGAGCCAACGGTGTTAGATAACACACCAATCGATTCCCTTAGTATTAAAAATAAAATGAAAAATATCACAACTCAGCTAAATTACATAACTTTAAAATTTTATTATCAAGACAGTTGGAATGCTTATAAGCATAAAATATATTATAATGTTATATAATTATAATTATTTGTACAAGAACAAATACAACTTATTTGAATATGCTACTGTAGCAATTTCAGATAACATAAAAAACATAACTAAGATGATGGAAAAAAACACATTTAAAAAATGATCAGTTTTACATTCTTCTTTTTCCCCAACTTAACATGCTACGTAGAGCGATGGCCTTCGTTCTCATCTTAAGGAATCAAAGATGGTTCTTGGCTCAGCCAATAATGGACGAAATGGATGTTTGATGGCTTGCACCAGAAATGAAACACAACCAATAAAAAATAACAAGAAAATTTTTTTTGACATCCTGGGGATTGAACCCGGGACCTCTGCTCCAAAACATACTTTTCTACCCATTGGACCAGGCCGACCCCAAACGCACTTAAAATATATGATTTAAAAATAAATCATCGTTTAACTTAAATTTTTATGAGTAGCAAACAATAGATAGTTGTAAACTTAGTCTAAAATAACATAATTTTAAATATTTAAAAATGTTACTATCCGTTAAAGTCAAACAAGTTTTTTTAGAAAAGAAGAATTGTATAGATACAGTAAGACTAGAAACTAAAACAACACTAAAAATAATTTTTATAGCGTATTAAAACTCTATTGAAAACCTTTATAACTAAATTAAAAGCTAATATTAGGTAATTAGAGAAAAAAAAATTGTTATACACTAAAATTGAAAAATAAAGAGTAAGTCGGCATTAAGCGAGAAACAGCTCTTTGATACCCTTAAAGAGTAAAAAGTATATAAAAAATATACGTTCGTATCATTTATTAAGTATTTGATTACATCTAAATTTGAATTACACATTGATAAGTGGATAATTTTACTCTTTTTAATGAAAAATTGATATTTTTTTTACTTTTAGATGATACCAAAAATCATATCTTGTAGTGAAATATACTGATGGAATAATATATTTAATAAAAAAAATTAATAATATTAAGTTTTACAATTATCAAGTTACTATTATACATTAAATAACATTTCTTTTAATTATGCACCATTTATGAATATTATTTTTAATTGTATATCAAGTTTAATTATTTTTTATTTCTACCTTGCTTCCATAGATATAGACTGACGTTTAAGTAGCTCAACTCCTAACTTTCCTGCATTATTATGTTCTCCTTGTTCTAAGAATAAAAACACTTCTTCCAAAGAAGTCATGGATATACCATAGTTCTCTATTCCCAAAGAGCTGCCAGCAGTATTAATTTCTACTTCTATTTGAGTGAAAAGTGGAGAAAATTTACCAACACTATCATGTGGCAATACAAAGGAAAGTTCACGACCATGACGTCTAGTTCGCTCTGCATTCGGGACAAAATCTTTTATCAGTTTTACTATGCAATTTTCATTAGCATTGTTGTTAAGTGTTAATCTGGAAATGATAAAATAATGATTATACAGAGTGATTTTTTTATCATAACCCACTCAATTACTTGCAGAATAATAATAATTTAAACATTTTTTTTTTTTATTATCTTTAGTTACACATTAATCTTGAATTTTTAACTATGTAATACTTTTTAAGTTCATCCCTTATGCCTTAGAGGGGGGTCAACTTTGTTTTTTTAAATGGAAACACATATTTTTAATTTAATAAAATGTTTGAGTTTTTAATTTAATAGTAAATGGCATTTGAATTTTTAATATAACTTTATTAGCTTATTAGATATAAACATTTAAAGTTTCAAAATTTTGAGTTAATATACATGTATAATACACATGGGATTGTAAATACAGGTAGCTAATTGGATTTTTATGACATTGCTGTCTCAGTCACGGATTGTTTATTATCAATTATGATTATCAATAGATATACTTTCTGTATTGTCAGTTAGTGTATTTATAAACTCATAACAATGTGCCTTACTACAATTGATAATAACAATGCTGTGTACCTGCTAATATCGATGTTATAAAAAACCAATTAGCTACCTATATTTGTAATCCCTTGTGTATTATACCTGTATATTAATTCAAAAATTTGAAACTTTAAATGATTATATCTAATAAACGAATTAAGTTATATTAAAAATTCAAATGCCATTTACTATTAAATTAAAAACTCAAACATTTTATTAAATTAAAAATATGTGTTACCATTTAAAAAAACAAAGTTGACCCCCTTCCAAGGCATAAGGGATGAACTTAAAAAGTATTACATAATTAAAAATTCAAGAATAATGTGTAACTAAAGATAATGAAAAAAAAAATGTTTAAATTATTATTATTCTGCAAGTAATTGAGTGGGTTATGATAAAAAAATCACCCTGTATTAACACAAAAATATTAAGATTTGTTAAAAGAAGTATTGGGACAAATGATTTTACCATTATTTGTTTACCATACAATTTGTTGATTAATCTTATCTCAATCTTATTTTACCAAAATTTTAAATTTAGCAGTCGTTTTTTTTTATCATTTTCGACAATTCCGAAATTAACAAACTACTCGCGTGTTTTTCATTTACAAATAGATATAAAAGCCGCAGAAACGTATGACATAGTTTAAATAGCTATTTATGGTTATATTTTCAAGGATCGTTTCTAATGAATTAAAAAGTCATGTTTAAACTAAACTATTCATTTTGTATTTTATTTTCTTCTCGTTGATTTTCTAATTTTTTAGTTTTTGCCGTATTATCAAACTGACACGATAAGACTTTTGTAAATAATGCTTTAAGAGAATAGATTAATTTTATAACCAGAGTAAAAATTTTAGAAACTAGATCAAAACATTTTAATTTGATGAGAAAGAATTTAACGTTAAAAATAAGTTATTAAACTAGCTGGGTTAACTATTTATCAGATTATTCATATAAATATAAACAGAGTACCTCAGGTATAACTAACAACTCATAATTCTTTTGATCAAATTAATATTTTAGATTTTTTTTTTTAAATTTTTAGACTAATATAAAAACCTAATTATTTTAGTTACTTAATACTATACTAGAAATTCAAAATAAATAGTCTGAAAATAGGGCATATAAGATTAACCCATGATCACCTTATGGCCAAGAATTTACCACCTAAATGTGATTCTTGTGAAGATTAGCTAAGATATACATAAATATAAATATATCTTCACCGCATGTAGAAAATACATAAATATACTACACCAACAAGGAAAACATGTATTCGTGTAAATAAGTACTTTATTAATAATTATTTATTTATTATTTCATTGTTTACGTTAAATGATATCCAATCCCAAATTTATTTTTTAGAAAAATGGATGACCCGCAACATCTAACAGTGCCTTTTGAAATAACAGCTATACGATCTGCTAGAACATCAGCTTCGTCCATAAAATGTGTCGTAAGCAAAATCACCTTATAAATTTTTTCAATATAATAAATAAACAAAAGAATTCATTAAAACATATGTAAACTAACTTTTCCTTTTTTTCTTTTCTGAAGTAATGACCACAAATGTCGTCTCGCTGGAGGATCAACTCCTGCGGTAGGTTCATCTAATATTATAATTTTTGGGTTTCCAATAATTGCTATGCCGACAGAAAGTTTTCTTTTTTGTCCCCCACTTAAGTCTTTCGCCATGCTATCAGCTTTATCAGTTAGATGTAACTCTTCTAACATGCATCGAACTTCTTTATTTATTTCATTTGGCGATACACCCTAGATATATTAAAAAGATATATTAATATAATAGATATATTAAAATATTAGGTTATATTTTAATTTTTATAACAATTTAATTTATCTTAAATTAAATAAATAAGCATATAAACAATAAATCTTCACCCTAATCGCAGCAAAAAATTGTAAATGTTCTCTAGGACTTAGCCGTTGAAATAAAATGTCATACTGTGGGCATACTCCGATCATTCTTCTTATTTTCTTAATGTGAGATTTATTTCGAACATCGTAACCAAAAACTTTAATTGTACCTAATGTTGGTTCAGTTAGTCCAGTTAATATATTAAACAATGTAGTTTTTCCTGCTCCATTATGTCCCAAAATGGCAGTTATTTCCCCTTCGAAAATACTCATCTGAATACCTGCATCGATTTCTTCAAATTTAAATTCAAATTACAAAACCTAATTCATATTATATTATACCTTGCCATATTATTAGATCCAAAAAAAAAATCCAACACGTAGGGTCGCGCACAGTGAGGACGCAGCATAGTTGAGACAAATATAGATGACATAAGACAGTGATTTTAGTGAAAATTACAATTATAAAAAAAGCTTTAATGCAAATTTGTAGAGTATTTAATTATTAATATTTAATAGTTGAATTACTCCAAAAACAACATTTACTTTTGCTTCTTTAATAAAATCCTGAATATTAGCTTTATGATTTATAAGTATAATACATTAAAATCAGTTGTCAGTGTACTTTTGATAAGATTGGACGTTATTCGCATATCTATTTATATATATATTATCTTTTTTGCGGTTTCTCATAATATAATTTAGACTTAAGTTAATAAATAATAATACCAAAACCAGATAAACCATCAAAAAAATTGCGCGCTCTCAACTAACATTACCCGAACAGAACTTACATGAAATGACGTCGTGTCATCATTGGAATCTCTACAGTCTTCCCAAGAATCTAAGTTCTGTTCTATTGAAAGTAAGTTTAGCTTAATATATATGATGGATATTTTTTCAGTTAGTCTACTCTCTAAAATTGTTATCTGAGTCTTTAAAGTCTTTATAAACACAAAATGATAAATATCATTTTGTGTTTAATTATAATTAAAAAAAAACCCAGCACAGGGGGGTTGCGGCACAGTGGTGACGTGGCATAGATGGATCAAGTATAATGATATCTGACAGTGATTAAAATCACTATAAAAAAAAAACGCTTTGATGCAAATCTTTAGATAGTGTTTAATTTTAAAAAATTGGTGTATTATTCCAAAAGCTACATGATCTGCTAGTTCCTTATTAATATCCTGATTAAGATAAAGTATGTCGAATGAAAAAGGAATTATTAAAAAATATTATTTCTCATAAAAAAATTGTATTGATCCATAAATTTTTCAAAAAGTTGTAACTTCAAAAACTTCATAATGAAGTTAAAAATGTAAATTATAAAATCGAGATTTTTCACACAAAAATAGGATTCGGTAGCCATTTCCATCATGAAGACAAGTCTAGAGGTCAAATTTTTTTTTAAAAAAGTTATAGCAATTTTAAGTAAAAAAAATTGAAAAATTTGAAAAAATTAGCGTTTTATAAATTTGTAATTTTTTTGGAGGTTTCCCCCATTTACGGGGAACGAGGGAATTTTTTTCAATTTTTGAGGGTAATATTTTTGACTAGATACGATTTGTGATCTCTTGACGTATCATTGAAAGAAATCGGTTCGGTGAGAGCTGAGAAAAAGTGGTAACAGACACAAAAAAAAAAAACACATCTTAGTAAAACCAATACCTTCTCAGCTTCGCATCAAAGCTAAAAAGAGGTTAATCATCTTAGAAGGGAAGTACGGGAACTGGAACCATTTGCACTATCTAATAATTCAATAGATTTTATGAATGAAACTCAGGTATGATACGCTATGCTAACAATGTAATTATTTACTAAATTTCTGTACAACCAGATGAAAATTCTAATACTTGTTTCTTGCATGGTGAAAAAATAATATTCGTTTAGGTATTAATGTTTCAATACCATTCGACTTATTGGCATTAAAAAATCAGGTCACAATTGCCCATTACTTATGGAATTAGATTTAATTTAACCCTCAACTGGTCACGTCGGGTCTATTTGACCCGACGTTTCTTATCGAACGTGCTATTTTTAGATTCAGCGAATTGAGAATTATTCCATATACATGTAATCTCTTTTCATTTATCTATGCATGTTGTTAGATATATAATTAATCTTTTATTTATTATTATACCAGTTAAGTCTTGAATTTGACCCGGACGATCGTTAGTGCGCTATAGTTTTAAGACGAGTGACCCGACACGACCTTTGGTGTACCGCGGACAGTCAGACGCATGATTGTTTATGTTACCAAATCTATATCAATTTTATTATTTTATAATTATGGAAAAGTTTATCACAGATAGTGAGTTAGAAGTAGAACTTTTGAGGCAAGAAGAAAAGCCATTATCTGATGATAATTCTGAAGACGACGAAGATTATGTTGAAAAAAGTGAACATGACACGGAATCAGATTAGGTACGTCTTCAGACGATGACGAAGTGAACGATGTAAGTGAACCAAATAGTTTTTATTTTAGTAAAGATAAGAAAACCAAATTGAATAAGAAACCAATAAAAGTGAGTGGTCAGACGAGGCAACATAATATAATTACTTATTTATCTGGTGTGAAACGTGTAGCTAAAAATGCTAAAACACCACACGACGCGTTTAAATTATATTTTGATGAGAAATTAATGGATATTTAAATAAAAAATACAAATATTTATATTTTGAAAATACGAAAAAATTATAAAAGAGTTACAGATGCCCAGGATACTGAAATAACAAAAATTACAGCTTTTATTGGTTTATTATTGATGTCTGGCGTTTATCGAGCTGCTCATTTGAATAAGAATTATGGGATGAAGATGAATCTTCAATTTTTTCTTTAGCAATGTCCTATAAACGTTTTTTATTTTTATATTGTTGCATTCGTTTTGACAATATACATACTAGAGAAGAGAGAAAAAACTGACAAACTTGCAGCTGTCCGTGAAATACTCGATATGTTTAAGAAAAAGTTTGAGCTTGCGTATACACCAGCCGAATATACAATAATAGATGAGCAGTTAATTCCGTTTAGGGGTAGGTATCCTTTTCGACAGTATTTACCAAACAAGCCAAAAAAATATGGAATTAAAGTATTTGCGTTGGTAGATAGCAAAACCTTTTATTTATCAAAATTTGAAATATATGCTGGGTTACAACATGATGGTCCTTATAAAATATTAAACACACCTTTTGATATTGTTCAACGTCTTGTTGATCCAATAAAGGGTACCACTAATAACTGGTATACAAAAACAAAAGAGAAATTCCATCTGAATTTCTCCCTAATAGAAAAATGGAAGATTATTCGAGTATTTTTAGATTTACAAAGAATATATCTATTGTTTCATACGTTCCAGCAAAATCTAAGTCTGCTATAGTTATTTCCACTATGCATAATGATGATTTAATTTATGATGTCACTGGTGAAAAAAAAACCAGAAATAATAACTTTTTACAGTACAACTAATGGTGGGGTAGATTCATGCGATCAGCTTTGTAGCAAATACAATGTTGGTCGAAGTAGCAGAAGGTGGCCGTTAGCTAAATTTAATCTTTTTATAAACGTATCTGCACTAAATCCATGTATTATTTTTAAATCTAACACGAAAGAAACAACGGAAATAAGAAAATTTTTGAAAACTCTTGCCAAAAAACATGATCAAATAATTAGAAGAGCAAATAACATTCACATATTACGTAGTCTTAAACAAAAAATATGGATTTATTTGGGTAATCAAGGAATCATTAAACAATTGGTTACAAATGAAGTCGATAACATAAGAGACTCTAAAAAACGTAAAAGGTGTCATATTTGTCCAAGCACAAAAGACAATAAATAAAGTGATATTTGTAAGGTATGTAAACAAAATATTTGTAAAATTCACTCGGCAATTGTTTGTTTAAAATGTCAAGAAAATATTTTAATTTATCAAAAATATTATACATTATATAAAATACTACTAAAATTATATTGTACATCTTTTATACTTGGTATTAAGTTCATTATAAAAAACAAGAAAAGCAATTTATTTTTATGTAAACTTATTATGTTAAAACTATTATTCTTATTCATTAAGATTGTATCATTATTTTTTTCAATACAAAAATGAAATACAAAATTTATGAAGTGAAGTTATTTTTTATTAATCAGTTTAATCCAAAATTAAGTAAAACTTAAAAAATCCAAACTAAGGGTCACTATGACCCGATGTGACTATCTGTGTAATTATTCGATAGTGACTGGTTAAGGGTTAAACTTTATAACATATTTGGATAAGTTAAGCTCAAACTAAGTGCTAAGGAAATTTCATGAGAAACTTAAGATTGTAGTTGCGCGAAAAAAGATCTTCAGGTTACTACAATTGGTATATTAAACATAATAATGGTAATCTTTCACTTGTACAAAAGAACTAAATAGACACCCAAACATTTTTTTAGTAATAAATTAATTGTTTAGATTGTAAGGAAAAAAATGTAAATAATAATAATTATGTATTGACGGGTATTACCAAAATGTTAGCGGCTTACGTACAATGTGATGATGAGATCCTCCTTAAATTCATCATTAACCCAGGACACAAAGGCAATAATAACAAAACTGGCCAACGCGGTTAGCGTTAAGGGACCCTTTAAGACATTTTATACGACTTATATTTTTTTAAATATTTTTTTGTTACTTATTTTTATATCTGCTATTTAATTTATATTTGTATATTAATATTTATTGTTATTTTTATTATAATCGTAATTTGTATTACTTAATATTTTCGCTGAAGCCATTTGCATCAAAATTGTATAGACTTACCACAGTAATTTTTTTTTTTTTTGAAGACTTCTTTTACATTGTACATATATAAAATTTCTCAAAACAATTTAAAAAAGCTTTCTTAAGTTTTAAAAATTTTCTTTCCAAACATGCCACATATCAATTCTTTATTGGGAAGGATGAGTGAAAGTGTTCTAATAATATAACAATGTATTATAAAACAAGGCTTAAAGTGACATAAGAAGTATAGGAACTACTTCGCTTTATCATATTTATTTTAGACTTTGTAAAATTTAGAAAATGTCAAAATGTAAATATTGATCATAAATTGAAAATAGTTTTTGGTCTACTAAATATTTTGCGTAAAATTTTCTTTAATATAATTAAGTCATTATTAGACTATGATAAAATCATGTTTATTATCATTATTTATTTAAATAATAAACCTTTTTTTTACTTTAAGCCCTGCTGTAAAGACCTTTATTATGAGCTTGCCATTTAAAATATTCTCAGTTGAACTTTTGTAAGATTTACAGAGATTAGTTATTTGTATAGCTTTACGATCTTTCATAGACTCAGATATGGTTTCAAAATCCGGATTTGAAACTGAATATCTATTGATTTCATCAAATTCGATTGGTTCTGGTGGTTTAGAGCACCAAAATGTCGATTTAAGACAAAATAAAAATGAATAGTTACTCTCATATTCACTAGAAATTATCATTGAAAAGTAGTATGCTAAAATTGTATAGATAAAAGTATCTATGACCATCATTAAAAGGAAACCACCAAATGGAATTCCCGGTCCTATCCAAATATTATTATAATTTAATCCATCTCCAACAAAATCCATAGTCATCGCTTTGTCAACCGCTAATGCAAAGTTAGCTGGACTAATTAATGAAACCAACAATAAAACATTTGTATTTGAAGATTCGACTATGTTTTGCATAAAGTACAAAAGACTAGCCAAGCTTATGACAAAATTTCCAAGTATTCCAGCAGTCTAAAATTCAATACAAAATTTTAATATTAATTAAAATTTATGACAAGTATATTGGACTTTAAACTATAAAGTTTAATCCATTTATTATAAATAAGGCACGGGACTTTATGTATAAATACATAAACAAATTTTTAAATCATAAAAATTTTGTCACTTGAATACAGATCTATAATATTATTAAATAAAATTCGTTGTTTGGAGTATTCATAAAAATATGTTAGGACATCCGTATAATGTAACACAATACTAACAATTATAAAATTTATACTCAATTATTAAGTAATTTTACTTACTCTTGACTTTCCAAAAAAATGAGATATCATGAAACTGAATGAAATTATACTAAATAAGTATAGTATAATTAAAATGAATATTATAACCCAATTAGTATTATTGAATATTCCCAATAAATATAATATTGCAGTACTTAATAAAGCCAACGTAACTGCATATATTATATATACATTGAACCATGAACACCAAAATACTAATTCTTTTAATCCCATTATTTGCATGCCTTCTTTTATCTTATTTTCTTTTTCTCCTACTATTTCAACTAGAAGATAGGTTACAAACTGAGATAAAGCAATTACGACATACAACGGAATGGCCATATGGAACACAACAAACCAATCTAAAAAAAAATTAGTACAGTTAACCTTAAAAACACAAATTGATGTGATTGTGAATATTTTTTTAACCAAGCACTTTAAAATTTTAAGAAAAATTGAAATAATCACATGATACAGGTTAAACCAAATTTTGCTAAATAAAAATACAAAAAAACAAAAATTATGAATCTTATTTAAACTTATTATAATTTTTTCATATTTTTTACGACAGTTTACATTTATTGGACAAATTTCGAGAAAACAAGTTCATTCTTTATTTTAAATTCACGATGTATCATTAATTTGATACCCAACTCCATATTTCAAAAAATTACATTTATAAAATATTTTTAATTTTTACTTTATAATGAATTAACTTTTTTAAAACTGAACGAATTATTGCGGAATTTTATTTATGGCAATTAAGATATTAACCTTGTTGATGATATATATTTTTGAAAATTCAATCATTAACTAAAATACCATAAAGGGTTAAAAATATCTATATTAAATTAATGTGATTTCTAAGAATTATTGGACATTAATGCCAATAAACACATAATTGTCGATAAAACTGGTCGATTTTAAATTGTTTCGCCTAGTAACAAATACACGTATCATTCTGAGTTATTTCAATTAAAACTTGTTTAATATAATATTTCATTAAAAAAACCAAGTGGGATGGAGGCACAATGGGGTCGTGGCATAGTTGGGTCCAGTATAGATGATATCAGACAGTGATTAAAATTACTATCATAAAAATCGCTTCGATGGAAATTTGTAGATAGTGTTTAATTTTAAAAAAAAATTTGTCAAAAAAGTAGGTCAAGTGAGAGCTGAGAAAATAAATGATAGCTACAAAAAAAAACCACATAGTAAAATAATATTAATATGAATTTCTTCTCACGAGAGGATACTACAGTAATAGGATCTTTGATAATTATTAAAGCTATTGAATCTAAATGAGATAAAAATCAAATGAATTAAACATTTTTTTCTAACTCAAAAAGAATTTAAAAAAAATTCAGTACCGCAGGCATGAAAGTCTTAAGTGTTACCGTCTCAGAAACCGTACGTCGCATTCGTCACTTAATAAAAATGGAAATTTAGCTAGTTCAAATTTTAAAGTTATTTTTCTCGATTTCAAAGAAACAAAAAAATTTAAATATTTTTAAATTATTATGCTATGTCAATTAAATTGATATAATATTTATGAAAATCAGTGTAATCCCCTTATAATAAAATAAAATACAAAACCAAAAATTTTAACACAAAAATAGCATATTTTTGAATACGATAGCTATTTTTACCATGAAGACAAAGTAAAGTCCGAAATTTTTTATTTATTATTAAAGTATATTACATAAGCATTAATTTAAGATATATATAAAAGTGTAAGTTGAAAAAGTTCTACTTTCTATATGCATTTTAAAGATTTAAACCCCCCCTTTATTAAAGGAAATGGTCCGATTTAAAAAAAAAGTATATCAAATGAAAGTAGTATATAAATATTATTTCTTAAAAAAAATTGGATTGATCCATACATTTTTCAAAAAGTTATAACATTTTAAAGTTAAAAATGTAAAATATAAAATCGAGAATTTTAACACAATAATAACATTTGGTAGTCATTTTCATCGTGAAGACAAAATAAAGTCCGAAATTTTTTTTTTCCATAATAAAGTACATTACATTAGCTTTAATTTAAGATATTTATAAAAGTGTCAGACTTTCCGGAACATTTTCAAAATTAAGTTGAAAAAGTTGTCATTTTGTATCCCCCCTGTGGGCTGGTAAAGTGTTAAATTTATAAAAAAAATGTACCAAAAAAAAGACATCACGCATCTATAAAAAAAAAATTATATTTATTTGTCATTTTTTGAAAATTTATGACAGTATTAAGTAAAAAAAATTTAAAAAATTAGCGATTTTTAAATTTGTAATTTTTTTGGAGATTTCCTCCATTTACGGGAAACGAGGGAAATTTTTTCAATTTTTGAGGATAATATCTTCGACTAGATACGATTTGTGATCTTTTGACGTATCTTTGAAAGAAATCTGTTCGGTGAGAGCTGAGAAAAAGTGGTAACAGACACAAAAAAAAAAATAAAAAAAAACACATTATAGTAAAATAATACCTTCTCAGCTTCACATGGAGCCCCCACCTCCACGTGGTGCAACCCGGGCAACGGATCTCGACTTTTGGGATCCGGCTAACGGGGGAGGCCACACCACGTTGTGAATCAGCTCTTGATTAATTTCGGGCTGATTCACAACGTGGTGGTGTGAGTTTTAAAGACGGCGTGGGCCGCCCTGAGGTAATACCTAACGGTAGTTCCGGGGCGGCCCACATGTAGGCCGGTCGTGTAAAAAAAAAAAAAGCTTCACATGCAGCTAAAAAATACGTGTAACATCACAAATCCAAAGATGGTACGTCTATAATATTTGTTGTCTATCATTTAGTTTTGATGCAAAGCTGAGAAGATATTATTTTTACTATGGTGTGTTTTTTTTAATTATTTTTTTTTGTGTCTGTTACCACTTTTTCTCAGCTCTCACTTGACCAACTTTTTTTAACGATGCATTGAAAAATTGAAAAAAATTCCACTTTTTTTTATTAAAAAGTTACTTAATCCACATTCTCCACATAAACATTTAAAATCATTCATTTCTAATGTTTTTAAAGTATTTATTGCCGAATTAGGTTTGATATGATAATAGGTTCAATTACAAAATTTAATATTTTTACATAGTAATTAATTAATATTTTACATTTGTTTATAATATTCCAAATATGTTGGTAACATGTTGCTATAAAAATCATAAATCTAAAATAAATGATTTTTAGTTTCACCTCAATTTAACAAAAAATGTTTAATCATATTTTATAATACGCTCAATTGGGTAAATTTTTTTAAACTTATTATTGGTTTTTCTAGTTTACGTAAATCATCAAAATTAATTAAGTTCTGAATATTTCAATTGTAGAATCATTTTAAACACCAAAGGTTTTTTAGAAATGATTATCTTGATTTTTATTTAAGTGATCATCTATCATAATAAAAATGTAACAAATATTGAGCTTTTCTGATAAATTTACAATAAACAGTAATTATACAATTTCCTAACTGCATATTAATCTTAACAATACTATTTTTATAATTCTCATAAAAATTTTTATTTAATAGTGTAAATTTTAAACTTGAAGTTGAGCTAAAAGCTATGGTAAAAAATTCAACTTTTTATTATAAACTTTCACAAAAATGAACTTCAGAGGACAAAAATCTAAGTTAAAAGTGATATTTTGCACTGATTATTTTTACACATAATAAAATTAAAGTCAGTAATAATTTGAAAACAAATAAATATGGCGGTTTTATTCAATTTTTAGCACTGATAGTTTTAACTTGATTAAAATCGAATTATTTAGAATTCCATAGTCTATGCATAAACCAACAAATCAGTCCAATAAAATCTGATAATTTTCATAGACATACAAATAAAATTATACACCATAACAAAACTATTACTTTTTTAGTTTCGCATCTAAGCTAAAAAAGTTATCCATATTGTTTTTATTTTTTAATTAATCCTTAAACAGTCGCGTGGGGTCTAGCATACCCCCACATAAATAAAAACGGATGTATTATATTGCATAAAAGGTGTACATAGATATAAATGTAGAAGATGGTTTTTATAGTAATATTGAATAGATTTTCATAAATAAATACCTTCAAAAAAAAATGTATGACTTAAAATATACATAAAAGTTGAAATGGGTCATATTGATCCCCACGCGACTATGAACGTTATAATTCTTTTTTGGATTTTTTTCAAAATATCGTTTAATCGTAAATGCAATGTTATAATCGATATAATATTGTGGAATTGGGATTATGTGGATCTGCCACCGTCTATGCAATTAAGTTTTAAAAATAAATAATCTATTGAGAATTTCCACTACTCAATGATACGGAACAAATACGAACTAAACATGTAATAAATACATCCCGTCGCAATGTGGACACATTAATTATCGGTGCCTCATTTACAATTACCACTATTCACATTTACCCCTCCTAACCCTACTCGTATTATAATAATTAAATTGTATTGTAATATTAATAATAAAAAATTCAATTCATAAAAATGATTATGTAAATGTATAGACACATAAAACTAGTAAATATAAGCCATGTTTGAGCTCAAAGAAATACAAGAAAAATTAATAAAAATACATTTTGTAATAGTAAAAGCTTTTATTTACCGTCTTAAAAATAAGATTTTGCAGTTAAAATTATTTTTTTTACAAACCAAAATATTTTAATGAAATTTTGAAAATTAAGTTTTTTTTTTCGTAATGTAATTTTTAGTAATGCATATAATTTTGTCATTTATTAGCTTCGATGCGAAGCTGAGAAGGTATTGGTTTTACTAAGATGTGTTTTTTTTTTTTTT